ACAACGATGGCGACTGAAAAAAAGCACGTGGACGAGGGAGGACGTCGAAGAAGGAGCACGTGGACGAAGGAGCATGTCGACGAAGGAGCACGTGGATGATGCGCCTGAAGGGGCACCGGTCGAGGAGCCGTTTCTCCGATGATGGCGGCTGCAAAGGAGCACGTGCTCGATGCGCATGAAGGGGCACTGCCCGCGGAGACGGAAGTGGAAGCGTGGAGCGGCGAAGCGGATGTGCAGGCGTGCGACGACGACTCAGTGCGCAGACGGTACCGCTGGAGCCATGAGAATTCAATCACTGCGGTATGGAATGGCGCCTAGACTCTCCTTTTGTACATAACGCGCTCTCGCAGTACACCATGGACACGCCTCGCCGTCCACAACAGTCCGCCCCTTCGTCGATCGTGCACGGACCATTTTCCCCGCCGCATGCTGGTGATCCCTCGCATGGCCAACAACGCATGTGGGCTCGCAGGAGGACCCTGGGGGAGGTCGAAAGAGCCCGCCACCCCCAAAAACTCGAGGCACCCCTGTCCGCCATTTTCCCCTCCTGTCCGAAAAACACACCCTGCCACCTATTCCTTCTCCGACACCCCCAAAGAAGACCCTGGCAGATCGACATCCATGAGTGGCGGCAACGCCTCACAACACCAGCCGTTAAACAAAATAAAAAATTGGAGGACCTACTGTACAACCGAAGGACGCGCCGCAGGGCATGACAACAATGAATACCCTTCACAGAAATCAAACAAATCCACAATTAAATAAATTGTGCGGGCAAAAACGACCCGCCATCTCTACACCACCTGCCCATAACCGCACTGCAGCATGCAGGACGATGACAACGACGATACTCCAGAACTGCACACGTGACATTCGCGTGGACGTCGGACATGTGTGGCCGAGCGACGTTAGGATCGCTCACGGATCGCTTTAGCAATCTCCAGAAGGGCGTTGCACATCATGAAGTTCGCCTGGTCAGCCTTCACGTAGTGTTCCATCTGCACTTCCGGCTCTCGCTCGGAACGTCGCATTGCCTCGTCAAAATTGAGCACTGCCTCTTGCTTGCGCTGTCCACCGTCGTCGCCATCAAATTCCCGTGCTCCTTCATGACGTCCACAATCGTGTCGAAGGTCAGTTGTCTTACATTCTTCCGCTTGCCGCCCCCGCCACCGCCACCGCCGAAACGTTGAATCCCTTGTCGATCCCTGATCGTCTAGTCCATCCCCGCATCCCTCACTACCGCTGGATTCATTCTGACCTCCACGTGGGCCGGTTATTTGAACACCTCTAGCCGCACCCATGTTCGCGAGATTAATGGGGTGTATAGTGTGATCGCCCCTGGACATGGCCCTCATCTCCGAATACACACACTCATCCATCCGAAAGTCGAACCCCCGCTCCTTCCTCTCCCCCGGCGTTAGTGTGAAGAAATTAGGCTTTCCCGATTCTCTTATGAACTTGTGCACGGTTTTGAACTGCTGGTACAGGTTGTACCATTTTTTCTTGCAGTCCACGACCTTTCTACTCGTCACCCCCATCTGCACAAGCCTCTTCTTGACGTCGTCCCACTTCCATGTCTTCGTCTTCATCCTTCCTCTGTAGTGCCCCAGGCCGGCCAGATGCAAATCCTGGTCTCTTTTAGCTCGGATCAGAGCAATCATGTGCTCCACGGTCCAAAAATCCCTGCTTTTTGCTCCCTCGCCTGCCGACGTATCTTCCACACCCTTCTTGCCTCTCAGGCCCGCGCGCGGTTCTGTAAACTTGTTTGTGGCCCTTGACCCTCGCCGCTTCCTTTCTACTGGACAAATCTCCATCTCCCCGTCGTCGTCCTCGTCGTTGTCATTGGCCCCGTTGTCTGCCGCGCAATCTTCGCCCCCTACACCATCGCAATCGCCGAATTTATCGTCCGCCCCCACATTAATTTTCGCCACCCCTCTCGTTATGCCGGACGTGCTCGCTTGACGCGATTGTCGTCGATGATCATCCCAAACCTTTCATCACACGACCTCTGCAGCGGAGCACTCATCGTCGTCCCCTCGTCCGTCGATTGTGCCGCCTGGCGTAGTTGATCCACAGGGAGTCGATCCACCTGTCCTCGTCCTCGACGCGGGCACACCTGTTGTGCCCACGACCAGAACACCAGACGCGGTTATCCGGAAGGCCCGACACCCTCACCGAAGGCGGTGTGTGGTTGGTGCCAGAAGTTGGGTTCACGAGAACGGTGTGCGTCACGTCCTCAACACTACCAGACCTCAAACCGAAGCTGAGATCTACGAGTCTTGCGTCATAACCAACCGGGGTCCGCCCCTCTAGCAGATCAGTGTACGTCGTCGTCGATGTCTGTCTGCACAGGCTCCCCATCGAATCCTGCGTCGAACCGCTGCCCAGAGGAACCATTGATGATCGGGGGTCGTCGCCCTCGTCGTCACTCGGAGGCAACGGAATCTCGTGGGACGGCAGGTGGTTGTACAGCGTTGGGTCGTACGGCCACCTGCCGCCTTCCGTATTGCTGCAACGTTGACGTGACGACCCCCCAGCCCGTACGGGCAGCGTGGTCTTCGTTTGTACCTTCTCCATCTTCCTGCCCCTCTTCGACGTTCGCCTCATCTGTTTCCTCCCTGGGACGCGACCGAGGAAGCAGATATGAAAGACGACAACGGCAAGCAGCAACACAGCGACGAGCAGCAGCAAAGGGAGCCTGCAGTACAGGTCAGCCATAAACGGCAGGGCAGCCGAGACAGAACACGCACTTGCGTTGTCGCAATCGCGGCGACCGGGGACACACGTTGCGAGAGGGAAGAGCCAACGTACGAAATTGCTGCAAGCACCGGTTGGGGGAGCACGCTTACAAAACCGTTGGGAAGCCTGCGGGAACGCCAGGACCCCTCCAGGAGGCGCCCGAAGACGTCCGATGCTCGCCACGGCACCACCATGGGGCCGCCTCACGAACCGACAGGGCCGTACTGCCAATCACCGCCAACAGTAAAACGACAAGGCCGTTGGTGGACGTTTTGGACGGGGACGGCCCGCGATGTCCGTCTTCCGGCCGGTGGACCAGCACTGGACCACCTTGGACCTCCATTTTCCCTTCTGTACTCGCCGTCGACACCCTGATAATCGCGGATCCTCGGGCTCCAAAGGACCTCGCGAGGTCCCTTGGAGCCGAGGACGATTTGGCTGGGAAATCCTCGGAGCCCAAGGATTTGTCCTCGGAGTGTTTTCACATTTCTGTTCCGAAAATCGGTTCCGAGGACAGGTGGAACGACAATGGAATCCTCGGAATCGCATCCCCGAGGAGTGTCGAACGACGCCCTATGTGTGTGTTTGAGTGTTTGTTGTTGTAAGTTTTTTTTTTATTAAATAAAAGTTGTTTTGTCACATGTGACTCACTCGATCAGGCGGTGAACGTATGCGGCATTGAATACGTCCACGTTCAGACATCTGTTTGCACTTGCAAATGCAATGCACGTGTGTCTTTCCAACCTGCGGCCAAGGCCGTGCCCTTTCCGATTCTGACTTTTTCACTTTTCCACCCTGCCGCTGCCTTGCCACCGTTTCGACCGAAACCCAGCGTGCAGTTCCACGCGCAGCTACAAGTCCCGCATTTTTCAAAGAAACTGCCCAAAGATCCACCCTGCCGCTGCTTTGCCACCGTTTCGATCAAAACCCAGCATGCGGTCCCATAGGCAGCTACCGGTCCCGCATTTTTCAAAGAAACTGCCACCCCCCCCCAAAGTGTCGTGCCTGTACCTGCCTGCATTCTCTGCCCGCAATCACACACACACACAGAGAGAGAGAGAGAGAGAGAGAGAGAGAGAGAGAGAGAGAGAGAGAGAGAGAGAGAGAGAGAGAGAGAGAGAGAGAGANAGAGAGAGAGAGAGAGAGAGAGAGAGAGAGAGAGAGAGAGAGAGAGAGAGAGAGAGAGAGAGAGAGAGAGAGAGAGAGTTACCTCTACCCCGTTTCGCGGTCGGGATCCCCTCTGCGAGCGTGGTCTTTGGAATTGCCTGACCTCCACTCGCGCCGAGCTACAACTATCACTTGTTCGTGTTTGTAGTCGTTGCCCATTCGGGATCGAAGTCGCTACTTGCCGTTGATGTCGTGATCGTAAAAGTGGTGCATTTATCTGGTCAGGGGGAGGGCTGTGTACACTGAACTGAAAATAGAGGGAAGAAGAAGAGAGACAATTGACTTCCCGAGAGGGAACGGGTGCGAAAGTGAGGCAACGTGTGCGCCCGCCGCTGCTTTGGCCCCCTTTCGATTTTTTGACCAAAACCTGTGCGGTCTCACGGGCAGCTACCTGTCCTGCAGTTTTAAATAAGATGCCACCACCCCCTAAACTGCCATGCCTTGTTTTTCCAGCCTTCCACCTACCGGAAAAATGTTCTCAGGGGCATAAAACGCACCCCTGACGGGCTGCGAATTAGAGAAAAAGAAAAAGGGGACCGCTTTTTGTGCAACCACTCCAGCTTTTGAACCTGGCAAGAGATTCCTCGTTCATCAGTCAGGCACATGCAAACTACGTGATGCGCACCCGTGCCCTCACGGGTAGTCAATCACACGGTGTAGTAACCTGCAACTACACGGTGCATGTGGGGCCCAGCCACGCTCTCCGAACAGTGCAGGGCTCTGGCTGCCTGACTACGGGCTGCGAGTGTCCGGCTTCGCTGTAGGTCAGTTGGACGCGCCCAGCTGATAGGCGTGGCGCCGTTTCGGGACTGGCGTGGAAGACAAGGACGGTTCGCTTGTCGCACACTATGCGCTTTTGGACAAGTGACGTAATTCCGGTGAGATGCACCCAGGTCAGGGTCTACTTCCGGTCATATGCATAAAGGGACAGCGACCACGTTTCACGTTTCAACGACTTCGCATTTGGCAGACATTCCGCGCTTATGCTCTTGCAGCGTCGCTGTCGAACCACGAGTGAACGCTCCTGGAACAATTGCAGACAGCCTGCATAGTGTACTGAAATCGAGCTCTGCTACGCGGAGAAGCAAACGTGATTGCATTGAAGATCGACCACAGCTGCGGACAAGAATCGGCTTCAAAAAGAAAAGAAAAGAAACGACGAAAACCAACAGGTAGCTTGGGAGCGCGGCGGAGGGCTGCGAGGGGAAAAAATAACGGAAACAAGACTAGTATTTCTGGCTCCGTAGTCAGTCTTGCGACAGTTCATGCCCACGCGCTCTCTCTCCCTCTACGGTCGCGCACCGTCCCCTCTCTCTCTTTCTGTCCGATATTGTCGCTCGGCACATGTCTGCGTGCATGGGCGGTTCTCTTTTGTGCGTTTGTAGATCTGTGTGACTCTCTCTCTCGCTCTCTCTCTCGCGGTGACACTGTGGTTTTCTTCGTGTCTGAGCGCGTGGGCGGTTCTCTGTTGTGCGATTCTCTCTCTCTCTCTCTCTCTCTCTCTCTCTCTCTCTCGGTGACACTCTGGTTTTGTTCGTGTCTGGGCGCGTGGGCGGTTCTCTTTTGTGCGATTGTAGACCTCCGTGACTCTCTCTCTCTCTCTCTCTCTCTCTGTGTCTCTGTGTGTGTGTGTGACATTGTGGCTTTGCTCGTGTCTGCGTGCGTGTGAAGCTCTCTTTCGTGCGATTTAGATATGCGTGTGTTTGTTTGCCCGCGCTTGTGTGTTTTTCTCCGTCGTATGGACGTATGCACCGCCACGCGATAGCCACTGAGCACGCTGTCGCCTTGGGGGGCAGCTGTCCCGCCTTTAAGTCTGCATGATGGTTGTTGCTAGTATCTATGGTGGATTTTTTGGAAGGCAAGGACATGATGTTTTGATCGAATTGTACACATATAGTCTGTGACTAGGGTACACGCTTGAATGTTCGAGTACGATCATAGACAAGCAGTGTTTCTTTCTTTTTTTTTTTTTTTTTTTTTTTTTTTTGGACAAGCAGTCTTTCGGCTAGACTAGACCCTCGGACACGCGGGTGCGTAGCTAACGACCTCCTCCTTGCGAGCAACGGCATCCAGGGGCCAGCCATGGCTACTACTGTTGCGTCGTGCGCGCGGATCACGGGGGACGCCTTCCGACTGGCTCCGCCGCCGTCGCGCTCGCGGTGGCGGGCGCTCTCGTCGTCGTCTACTGTGAGAATCGGCGGGACAGCGACGCGCTTACCCGGCTTGCGATCAACGACGGCGGCAACTTTCGCAAGGCAGGGGTTAGTCGCGATCAGGCTCGCGATCTCAACATGGCACAGCGCGCGGAGAAGACACGGGGATTCAAACACTAATCATTTTCACTGCGGGGGCGACATGATGCCCCGTCCAATCAACGGCAGGGAAACGATCAGGAACAACTGTGAGCTGCGACGGGAGATGAGATCCGGCGGCGGCGGTGGATTGGATCAGCAGACGAGGGATGCTTTGTCCACACTCTTGTTCCCCACGTCGTTCCTCTCCCCGGCGGCGCCCCTTTCTTCTTCTTCTTCCCTCTCCTCCTCTCTCTCCCTCGGCTTCGCGCGCGGCCTACCAGGAGTGATGGTGAGGCCCAAGAAGCGATGGCAGGCGCGGAGGCGGAATATGATTATGACGTCAGAGCACGTCAAACACAGCGGCGGCGGCGGCGGCTGCAGCAGCAGCAGCAGCAGCAGCAGCAGCAAAGGGAGCGGCGAAAGTAAGGCGGCCCCCGGAAGCAGCAGAAAGGAGGAAGGAGGCGACGCAAGTAGCAGAAGACGAAGCAGCAGCAGCAGCAGCAGCAGCAGGGGGAAGGTGCAGTTGGTGAATGGCAAACCGCAGGGCGGTCCCGATCTTTCCGTTGAAGTCAACGGTCTGAAGTTTCCCAATCCTTTCGTGATTGCCTCCGGACCCCCGGGCACTAATTACACCGTGATGAAGAAGGCGTTCGACGAAGGGTGGGGTGGGGTGATTTGCAAGACGTTGTCGCTGGACTCGACGAAGGTGGTGAATGTGACCCCTCGCTACGCGAGAATGAAAGCGGAGGGGTCGAGGGAAGTCATCGGTTGGGAGAATATAGAGTTGATCTCCGACCGTCCATTTGAGGTTATGCTGAGCGAGCTGAAGAGGCTCAAGGAGGAGTACCCGGATCGAATCCTGATAGCATCCATCATGGAGGAAGCGGATAGAGGGGCATGGGAGGAAATCGTGGAGAGGGTGCAAGGGACGGGAGTGGATGGCATCGAAATCAACTTTTCGTGCCCGCATGGACTTCCCGAAAGACGGATGGGCATGGCAATGGGTCAGGACTGCAAGGCTCTTGAGGAGGTGTGCAAGTGGGTGAATGCGAAAGCGACTGTGCCGGTCTGGGCCAAAGTGACTCCCAATGTCACAGATATTACTAAACCATCGCGGGCCGCTTTGTTAGCGGGTTGTGAGGGGATCTCTGCTATCAACACCATCACCAGCGTTATGGGTATTAACCTCCAGACCTTGCGCCCTGAACCTTGCGTCGAAGGGTATAGCACGCCCGGCGGCTATTCCTCCAAGGCCATTAGGCCTATTGCCCTTGCAAAAGTTATGGCGATTGCCAACATGGTCGATCAAGAGTTCGGCAGGGAAGGAAGGTCGGTATCTGGGATCGGCGGAGTCGAGACGGGGGGACATGCGGCGGAATTCATTTTGCTCGGCGCGCATACGGTTCAGGTTTGCACCGGTGTCATGGTGCATGGGTATTCCTTGGTGCATTCCCTCTGCGAAGACCTGCAGTCGTTCATGCGTAGCCATGGGTTTGAACGCGTGTCACAGTTCCGCGGGCACAGCTTGCAGTATTTCACCTCACACTCGGATCTGGTACAGCGGCAGAAGAACGCGCTCGCCAAGAGGAGGGAACGCAGAATCGGCTTGGCAAACGATGACGATTGGACAGGCGACGGCTTCGTCAAGGAGTCCGAGACCATGGTGTCCAACACATGAAAACGAAAACTATGTTGGAATTTACTCTTCCAAGGTCCTTATTAATTCCGCTCCTCCACTCTTCTCAGAGTTCGGTTCCCTTTCTTGCTGTGTTGTGAATCAAGTCACCCCCACCTCCTTGCCCTTCTCCTCTCTCTCTCTCTCTCTCTCTCTCTCTCTCTCTCTCTCTCTCTCTCTCTCTCTCTCTCTCTCTCTCTCTCTCTCTCTCTCTCTCTC